CATACAAAATTACAACAGACCTACACCAAGGCACATCATTATAAAAATGCCCAACCTACAGAATAAGGATAAAATTTTAAAGACTGCTAGAGAAAAACAACAGGTCACATTCAGAGGGAAAACAGTCCAGATATCAGCTGATTTCTCAATCCAGACCCTAAAAGGTAGGAGGCCTTAGAATTACATATACCAAGCCCTCAAAGAAAATGGATGCCAACTAAGAATACTATATCCAGCAAAATTAAGCTTCAGATTTGATGATGAAATAAAAACATTCCAAGATAAACAAAAGTTAAAAAAGAATTCACAACTGGAAAGCCTGCACTACAAAACATATTCAATAAAATATTTCATAAAGAAGAAATGAAAAATAAAATTGAAAACTAGAAAAGGGAGAAACTACACTAGAAGAGGAGAAATTAATTGAAATTAAAAACCAGAAATAAAATGGCAGAGAATAAAAATTATTTCTCAATAGTAACATTGAATATAAATGGCCAAAATTCATCAATCAAAAGTCATAGATGGGCTAATTGCATTAAAAAACAAGACCCATCAACATGCTGTCTCCAAGAGACTCACCTCATAGGCAGAGACTAAAGGTTAAAAGGTGGGGAAAAAAACCTATCATTCCCTTGGATTTCGTGAACAAGCACGGGTTTCTATCCTCATATCAGATAAAGTGGGCTTCAAGCCAAAGTTAATCAGAAAGGCCAAAGAAGGTTATTTCATACTGCCTATGGGGATTATACATCAACAAGATATAACAATCATAAATTTTTATGCCCCAAACAATGGAGCATTTATGTACATCAAACAAACCCTTCTCAATTTCAAGAATCAAATAGACCACAACATAGTACTACTGAATGACTTTAACACTCCTCCATCATGACTGGATTGATTGTCCAAACAAAACCTAACCAAAGAAGATATAGAACTAAAAAATACGATTAATAAAATAGAACTAACAGACATATATAGAATATTTCATTCATCAATGAATGAATACACTTTCTTCTCAGCAGTACACAGATCGTTTTCTAAAATAGACCACATCTTAGGCCACAAAACAATGCCTAGCAAATACAAAAAAAAAAAAAAAAAAAAATAGAGATAATACCTTGGATTCTATCAGATTATAATGGAATGAAATTAGAAATCAATGATATAATAAAAAAATAGTAGCTACTCTGACATCTGGAGACTAAATAATGTGTTACTTAATGATCAATGCATAGCAGAAGAAATCAGGGATGAAATAAAAAAAATACTTAGAGGTAAATGAGAATAGCAACAAAACATCAAAATCTCTGGCACACTATGAAGGTGGTTCTCAGAGGAAAGATCATAGCATTGAGCTCATTCATAAAAAAAAAAAATTGAAAGTCACCAAATAAATAACCTAACATTATATCTCAAGGCCCTGGAAAAGACCAAATCAACACTAAAAGCAGTAGAAGACAGGAAATAATTAAAATCAGAGACAAAATCAAGAAAATTGAAATCAAAAAATTCAAAAATATCAACAAAACAAAAAATTGGTTCTTTGAAAAAATAAACAAAATTGATAAGCCCTTATCCATGCTAATCAAGAGAAAGAAGAAAAAACTCAAATTTCTAAAATTTGTGAAGAAAAGGGAAATATCACCACAGATACCAGAGGATAATCAGAAACTATTTTGAAAATTTATACTCCAATATGTTGAATAGAAGTGGTGAAAGAGGGCATCCTTGTCTTGTTCCAGTTTTTAGAGGTAATGCTTTCAGTTTTTCTCCATTTAGAATAATGTTGGCCTTGAGTTTAATGTATATACCTTTTACAATATTGAGGTGTTTTCCTACTATCCCTAGTTTTTTTAGTATTTTGAACACAAATGGATGCTGTATTTTGTCAAATGCTTTTTATGCATCTACTCAGGTAATCATTTGATTCTTGTCTTAAGTCTGTTGATGTGGTGGATTACATTTATTGATTTCCATATGCATTCCTAGAATGAAACCTGCTTGGACATGGTACAGTCCAAGAATGTTTAGAATGTTTTATATGCGATTGCCAGTATTCTATTAAGAATTTTTACATCTATGTTCATCAACATAGTCCTTGAAACTCTAGCCAGGGCAATTAGGCAAAAGTATGAAATTAAAGGGATACAGTAGAAAAAGAAAAAAAAAAGAACTCAAACTATCCCTATTTGTTAACAACATGAATCCTATAAACTTTATCAGAAAACTTCTAAAACTCATAAATCAATTCAGCAAAGTAGCAGGGTATGAACTTGACACCCATAAATCAGTTGTGTTCCTATACACCAATGATGAATCAGCTGAAAGAGAAATTAAGAAAATCATCCCATTCACAGTAGCCTCAAAAAAAGAAAAAAAAAAATACCTGGGAATCAGTCTAACAAAAGAGGTGAAAGACCTGTACAATGAAAATTACAGAACACTAAAGAAAGAAATTGAAAACCTTAAAAGATAGAAAAACTTCTCATGTTCTGAGATAGGCAAAATAGTATAATCAAAATGGTCATACTACTACCACAAGTGCTATACAGATTTAATGCAATTCCTATTTAAATCACAGTGGAGTTCTTCATAGCAATAGAGAAAGAAATCATTAATTCATTTGGAAAAATAAGAGCCCCAGAATAGCCAAAACAATCCTTAGTGAGAAAATTGAAGCTGGAGGCATAATAATACCAGACCTTAAATTATACTACTAAGCTATAGTAACTAAAGCAGCATGGTATTGGTACCAAAACAGACATGAAGACCAATGGAATAGAATAGAAGACACAGAGACAAACCCACATAAATACAGTTATCTCATACTAGACAAAGGCACCATAAACCTACAATGGAGAAAAGACAGCCTCTTCAACAAATGGTGCTGGAAAAATTGGAAATTCATATGTAGCAGAATGAAACTGAACCCCTGTCTCTCACCCTGCACAAAACTCAAGACTTAGGCATTAGATCAGAAACCCTGCATCTACTAGAAGAAAATGTAGGCCCAACACTCCATCATGTCAGCTTAGGAACTGACTTCCTCAGCAAGACTCCTAAAGCACAAGAAGTAAAATCAAGAATCAATAAATGGGATAGTATCAAACTAAAAAGCTGCTTCACAGCAAAGGAAACAATCAGTATTGTGAGGAGAGAGCTTACAGATTGGGAAAAAAAATCTTTGCCACCTGTACCTCAGATAGAGCATTCATCTCCTAGATATATAAAAATCTCAAAAACAAAACAACAACAAAAAAAACACAAATAGCCCAATCAACAAGTAGGCAAAGGATTAAACACACTTCAAAAGGAATACAATGGTCTATATACAAATGGTCAACAAATATATGAAAATTTTCAACATCTCTAGTAATTAGGAAAATTCAGATCAAAATATTGAGATTTTTCTCATTTGAGTCCAAATGGCAATAATTAAGAATACAAGTAACAATATCAGCGAGGATGTGGGGAAAAGGTACACTCATATATTGCTAGTGGGACTGCAAATTGGTACAACCACTCTGAAAAGCAATATGGAGATTCCTTAGAAAACTTTGACCCAGTTATCCCACTTTTTTTTTTTTTTTTGAGAATTTTAATATTTATTTTTTAGTTATCGGCAGTCACAACATCTTTGTATGTGGTGCTGAGGATCAAACCTGGGCCGCGCTCATGCCAGGCGAGTGCGCTACTGCTTGAGCCACATCCCCAGCCCCCAGTTATCCCACTTTTGACCCAGTTATCCCACTCCTCAGTATATAACCAAAAGACTTAAAATCAACATACTACAGTGACAGCCACATCAATGTTTATAGTGGCTCAGTTCACAGTAGACAAGCTGTGGAACCAACCTAGGTGCCCTTCAACAAATGAATGGATAAAGAAATTGTGGTATACACACACACAATGGATTATTACTCAGCCATAAAAAAGAATGACTTTATGACATTTGCCAGAAAATGGATGGAGGAGACTAAGGGAAATAAGCCAATTAAAAAAAACCCCACAAAGATTGAATGTACTTTCTGATATGTTTATGGTAACCCACAACAAGGGAGGAGGGAGGGAAAGAATAGAAGTTCAGTAGATTAAACAAATGAGGGTGCAGGGAAGGGAGTGGGAACAGGAAGAGGAAAGACAGAGGAATGAATTTGGCTTTCCTGTGTACACGTATAAATACACCACAGTGAATCTCCACATCATGTACAATCACAAGACTGGAATCCTAATTAGAATAAGATGTACTCCATGTTTATATAAATATGTTGAAATATATCATCATCTATAACTAAAAAGAACAAATTTTTTAAAAAGCTGCAAAGTAATGTATCAAGTAGTGGTGAGAAAACCTTCCAAGATGGGAAGGAGGTGTTGTGGTGACAGAAAATAGATCTATCATATACGTAGAACTCATTTTGCTTCATTCACAGGTGTCATGGATCAGGCAATACACCTTTCCAAATCCCTAGGATTAGAATGTAGGGGTTGCACAGCTAGGCAAATGTTGTACCACTGAGTTATACCTCCAGCTCTGTCTCTAATATTAAGACACACCCCCACTTCCTCACAAGCCGCTGTGTCCTAAGTCTTGGCAGGATCTTAAGCACCAGCTGTATACCCTAGTACAAGTCACGTAGGCTCTCTACACCTCAGTTTTCTCATTAGCAAAATGGGGTTAATAGTAATATTTACCTCATAGTGCTTCTATGAGATAATGTATACAAAGAGATTAGTTTGCTGCTTAGCTACTGGTCAGGGGAAGCATCTCTGGTGTGTTTTGAGTCTTGTCCATGTGATTAATGATGTCACAATGCCCTACTAGACTCCGACTTCTCCATTAGGGAGTTGCGGATCCTTTGGAGCCAAGGAATGGAACTGACATGCAAGATCTCTATCAACTGAAGGTTTCATGAGCACGCTCCTTTGCCAAGATCTTGGTGAATAGTCTCTCACTGTGCGATTATATTTTAGAAATTATTTTCCTTTTTATCATGATTGTGCTTGGCTGGATGCTTTTTGTTGGATTTGCATGTTACATGGGCACATTTCCAGAGTTTGTGGTAAGTAATGACTTTATGTGTAAATCCCTGGTAGCCACCTCTGGCTCTGCCTCACACCTCCATCTGGAATTTCTGACCAAATTGGAGAGAGCTGAGGTCTCACCACTAATTAGAAATCAGGATGTGATGGGAACAAAGTTAGTTTCCCAGGCTCCTCCTCATCTCATTGGGACACTCTTCTTTTAAGTCCTTTTTTGTTTCCCCTTCTTTCTTGAAATGTATAAGGGGTCTGCTGGAGACAGTGCCTAGCTTCTGGATTTTAAGACAAGTAGATCATGAGTTGCTGGTAGGAATAGGGACCATGAGGACTTGGGGGACCATTCAGCAGTGCTTCCAGTCACCACCCAGAGTTACTTACCTACAAGGCCAACAAGTAGAGCCATCTTGATCTTTAAATTTCTTTCTGACTCAGCCTCCACCTCTAAAGTGGAAACAGAAGTGGCCCATTTGTGAGAGCAAGGCACGACGGAGGAGCCGGGCTTTGGAGGAAGATCTGTCACTGTAAGTAGGTGGTCAGATTTGTTGGGCTGGGTTTCCAGAGAACTCTAGCACTGGAGTCTCCTCGGAGAGAGTTTGATCTCCTGGAAAATAGAGTAAACCATAGAAGGGGAGATCATTTGAGGTGTATGGTGGGGAAAGAGGACTTGGGGACTACTATGAGGCCAAAATTCAGGTATAAGTATCCTTTTGTTTTGTTGTGATTTTTTGCTATTCTGGAGATAGAATCCAGGCCTTTCACATACTAGGCAAGTGCTCTGCCACTGAGCTACATCCGAGCCCTATAGGTATTGCTCTTGAAGATGATTCCCATTTATTTATTTTCTCCTCACAAATACTGTACTATCTTGTACCAACTCACCCCTCCTCCCTTCCTACCTCATTCTTTGCCTCATGCTCCCTTCCCTTTCTTTCCCTTCCTCACCCCTCCCCTCTCCTCTTCTTCCTTCCTTCCTTAGGATCAAACCCAGGGATGCCCTTTTTATTTTATTTTTGAGATAGGGTCTCACTAAGTTTCTGAGGCTAGCCTCAATCTTGCTGTTCTACTGCCTCAGCCTCCTGAATTTCTGGGATTACCAGCATGCACCACTGTGCCTAGCTTGTATCAACATTTTAAACCACCTTTTTGGCAGATCATAAAACTAGAGAACATGAACTTGAGTTCAAGTTCTAACTTTGCCACTTATTAGCTATGTGACCTTGGGGAAGTTTAATTTCCTTGAACCTCAGTTTCATCATCTGTACAATGGGAGATATCTCAGTATCTTAACTATTTTTGTAAAAATTACATATGGGAATTCATGTAAGTATTTAATGCAAAACCAGACAATTAACATTTAGTAAAATACTAACTTAACAACTAAGTAAAATAATGAACTAGTAAACAAAGATTTACTGATGATAGTGTCCTCAGGCATTTACCCAAGGCCAGCTCAATGATGAGGGTAGGATTCAAGCTAGGGGCCTCTCATATTCATTCCACTAGACCAGACTGCCTACAGAAAATATTAAATGGACATATCACTTTCAGCAAACCATCTCCTAGGTTTCTTGCATCCTATTGTTTGGTTTTTTTTTGTTGTTGTTGTTGTTGTTTTATTTTTTTTATGCCTCTCAAGAGTGGTTCCATTGTTAGATAAACTTAACTCTTTGTAGTCTTATTATCCTGATCACACAGGAGCAGTGTTTTTGGAAGCCCCCTGCCACCTTTTTTTTTTAAGAAGGAAGAGGTGTCAAGCCCTAATCTTAGGTATATTAAGAGCAGGACACTTGGTGATTGGTTTTTCTTGTTGTTGTTAGTTTTTTGCTTGTTTATTTTGTTTTTTTAATCCATCTGCCCCAGGATTTCCAAGAGAGCATTGGCCCAAAGCAGTCAGACCTTTGTGAGAAGCGTGGGGATGTGGATGGAAGAACTGAAAACATATTTAGCTGAGACATTGCCACATTGTGTAATCCTGACCAAATCACTTAAACAACTCTATGCCTATTTCTTCAGCTGTGAAATGAACATAATAGTCCATAGTCCATCTTTCTTGTCTTCTTTTCCCACGGTAGTTGTAAGGTTTATGCTGCATGATGAAAATTGCATTTCACAAAATGCAAGAATTTTCCTTTTTGAACAACCTAACAATAGCATTAAAGTTAATTGCTCGGCTGGGGATGTGGCTCAAGCGGTAGCGCCTGGCATGTGTGCGGCCCGGGTTCGATCCTCAGGACCACATACAAACAAAGATGTTGTGTCCGCCTAAAACTAAAAAAAAAAATGTCAAAAATTTCTCTCTCTCTTAAAAAAAAAAAAAAAAAGAAAGGTCAGGGGCTATAGAGCTACCACTCTTTAAAGTTAATTGCTCATAGTATACCTAACCAGTTAATTCCCTCAATAAATCCAGGATGGTTTTGTTTTGTTTTTTTGAATAGCGATTTTTTTTTGTATCAGATTGTTTAAAGCTACCAGTTATATATTTTAGTATGCAATGAGTTGTTATTAAGGATGTGATGTTACTGAGATCCTAAACAGTCACTAGAGTATAAGGGCCCTTTTGATAAGGTTTCTTTGCTCCAACATATGTGGCATCCTGGCCAACCATCCCATAGCTGTGCACTGTGATTTTTTTTTTCCCTAGTGTCACAGGGGCTGATGTCACAATTGGTATCTGAGCCCTGCCCCCCAAAATGGCCATGGAGAGCCATTTTAGTTTAGAGTAGACCCCAGAGACCCTCAACCAGGAGCTGTCATGCTGGGCCATCCATCCTCTAGTCTCTAATGAAGACAGCCCAGTTCCCAGAACTCAGGGAATAGAACACTACCTTCCAGAACCACCGATTTCCCTAGGCACACACCACCAGCTGAGCAAGAAGCCCCACAATGATCGTTGTCTTATGGTTGCTTCTCATTGCAGGAACGATGTGGAAGGGATTTAAATATCCCCCAGGAGGGGTAAGTGTACCTTTGACTTTGTTCCTACTTTGAAGTGTATACCCCTAAGTAACAAACTAAGCATGAAAATCCAACTCTAGTAACTTTAGAAACAAATACTCTCTTCTTGTATTTATAAAAAAAAAAAAAAAAAAAAGTTAGCCAGGCACGGTGGCACATGCCTGTAAATCTCAGTGGCTCGGGAGGCTGAGGCAGGAAGACCGCAAATTCAAAGCCAACCTCAGCAACTTAGTGAGACCCTGTCTGAAAATAAAAATAATATTTTTTTTAAAAGGGGAAAGGGGCTGGGGATGTGGCTCAGTGGTTAAGCACCCCTGGGTTCAATCCCTGGTACCAAAAAAAAAAAAGAAAATTACCTACTTCTGTTACTATTCACACTCAGAATTCGGAGTTCCCACTTTCTTTCATGTGCTCTTTTATACATATTTTCTTAAAGGAGTTTATTGATTTTTTTAAAGTTCTTCATTTAGAGGTAAGGGGATGGATGTTTCTGGCCCAGAGCCAAAGGTATCTGACATGGGTGATCTAATCTATAGTATGCTAACAGCATATTTTTAAATGAACAACCTTCATAAGATTTTCCTAAATCAGTCCATTTCAGCAACCCAGACTTAACCCATCTTTGCATAAATACTTGTTGACAAAGGGTTCTGGTAGCTGATGTTTCTTTCCTTTCTACCTCTTGTCAGCTCCCACTTTGTTGAGCCCCCTGGCAGCCAGCATCAGAGGTCTTAGGTACCTGAGACAGAATTGGACACAACTACCCTTGCCGCCCTTGGCAAGAAGAGCAATTGCTTGAGCCCTTCACCCTAGCAACCGCTGGACCCACCTGACATACTTTTTTCCCCGCAGACCCCTGTGGAAGTAAGCAAGGATGATCCTGGTGAAGTAATGCAGCTCTGAAGCTCACCTGACTAGCTGTACAGTTCCTGTTGTTGGTTTCTCATAAAGTAATTGCACATTATTTTGTCATATTTTATGTCCAGTTCCGCACTTTTTAAGATGAACAAAGACGGTATTATTATAACAGGAAGGTGGAGGGTAAGAAGGTGGTAGGAGATGATTGGGTCCCTTCCAAGGCAATTTTGTGTCCCCTACTCAATTTCCTTAAGGATAGAAATTTCTAGAGCTCTTTAGACCTAATTTCCAAATAATATCCTCCTCTTAAGTACTGTTAACCAAAAAAGGCTAGAGGATACAGCAACTTTAAGCCTTTTCTTTGTAGGCATTTCTCTGTAGCCTTTTTAGTTATTACTAAGAACACAAAGTTTACCCCATGTGGGGAAAGGAACTCATTTTAAAATTGAGAACAGATACTAAAATATACATATTAGCCTTCTGAAACTGGGTGTTAACTTTGCAATGTGGCAGAAATTGAGAGGCTTAAATATCTTGCCAACACAGCTCTAGGCCGAAGTCAAGATTAAGACCCAGGCTTTGTCCAGTACATGCTTTTATGTGCTAAGGCAAGTCCAATGAGAAGGACTGGGATTATCTGAGGATTTTGTTACCTAAATGTCTATCACCTGAAGACAAGAAGCTGCCTGATAATTCCTTAAAGCCAGTATATGTAGACATAAAAGCTAACGGCTCAGACCTCCATATGGTACAGCGTAGTTTATGAAACCGGGATGGAACCTGAGTATGAAACCTATTTTATTAATATATTTAAGTGTAGGAACACTAGAATTTTTTTGTGGTGCTGGGGATTGACTACAGGGTCTCTCACATGCCAGGCTAGCATTTTACCACTGAGCTACATCCCTAGCCCTGAACCCTAGGATCTTTATAAGCCCTCTGAAAGTGGTTTGAGGATTTCAATTAACACTCAGGAAGTGGGAACACAGGTTAGGGATTGTAATTCCAATGCTCTAGAGAACTGCATCCTTTCTAGCAAAGCAGATCTTTTGGTTATATAGTCTCAATGGTTTGGATGTGAGATGTCCCCAAAAGGTTCATATGGAAAATGCAGGAATGCTCAGAGGTAAAATGATCAGATTATAAGAGCTTTAACCTAATCAGTGGCTTAATCCACTTGATGGTTTAATTAATGAGTGGATTACTAGGTTAGGTAACTAATAGGCAGGTAAGATGTGGCTAGAGGAAGCAGGTCATTGGGGTGCCTTTGGGGATTATATACTTTATATTATGTATTATATAAGCTAATGAGCTTGGCAACTTTTCTCTGCCCACCTTTTTGTCATGTTATTCTGCCTCACTCTGGTCCCAGAACAATGGAATCAGCTGACCATGGACTGAGACTTAATGAAACTGTGAGTCCAAAATAAACTAGTCAGATAGTTTGGTTATAATGACAAAAAGCTCACACAAGATTACTTGGTACATGTTTAGTAAACTATTTGTAAGTGGCTCTTCACAATGAATGGATTTTCCTTTTTATGAAAAATAAAATGAATCTGAAATCCATAAACACAACTACTATAATTTCTGAATGTATTATTCTAGCCACTTTACAGTTCTCTTAACTTGGGTATCTGAGAGCACAACAGGACTTAAGCTGGTAAAAGGAGAGAGAGATCAGTAGTAGGGGCTGAAGAGACATGAATGTATGACAGAGAACAAGCAGAGAAGTGTGTACAGGAGACAAACCCAATCCCTAAAGTCTGAAAAATCTATGGAGATTTTAGCTAGAAAACTGTATAATATGATAAGGAATAACTCAAAGTTTTGATCAATAAATGCAAATCACTAAAAATATCAATAAAATATCTTTAATGCCTACAATTTCTTGTATACATAAATTGCAAAACATTCACCTGTATATGCAAAAGTATTTTCTCTTGCAGGTCAACAGCACCAGAAAACAAGCTAAGCTATGTAAAAGTTGTTTTTTTGTTGTTGTTGTTTGTTTTTTTAAACTTGATTTGTCCATTATGTAAAAGACATGATGGATTTAACAACTTCAAAGAATCTATATTCCACTCTTAATCATATACTAAACACCTGAATATTTATTTCATCACATCCACTCACAAAATAAATAGTCTAATATATTCAGCACACTGAAAATAAAACAACCAGTCTCTCTTCATATATTTATTCTCTTTTCAAAAATGTTTTGGTCTCCTGCTATATCTCAGAAATGTACTAATAGCTGCTTTTAAGTTACAAAATACAAAATAACAATTTATTTCTTGGAGAAAATCTTGGGGATTACCATTAAAAAATGAAATTTTGAGTTCCCATAGACTTTCTTTTTGTTAACAGTCTTTGAACTTTCTCATGGCACACATGTAAGGCTGCCTGTGACATGTGGTACCCTGGCCTCCAAATGGACATAATTGCATTTATAGTTTATAGAGAAAATACAAAGACAAGTCTGAAAGTAGCCTTAAAAGAAAGTGCCCTTTGCTTTGACATAGAAACATCACAAGCAAAATGGACTGTGCAATCAGAGCCATGAGTTTTATGAAAACTACTTTCTTTTCACATCTTTTGTGTTAGAGAATGCCACACCCATGATCATGTAACATTATTATAATTGTGAAATAACATTATTACATTCGTGAATTAACATTACCCAATAAAAGGCACATCTTCAAATATTAAGAAAATCTAAAAATCAAAATAGTAGAGAATACATTAAAAATCAATCACTTAATTTGTAAACCTTGAGAAAATAACAGCCCATTCCAGTTTCTTCAGAGGCTTGTAAGCTTTTTATAAGAGTGGTCAGGAAGTGTAGAACAACAAAATGGAAGACAGGACTTGAAAACAAGGCCAACATTAATTTACAACTTTCTTTTTTTTAATGAGCCAGAAGTATTCTTTTATAATGTTGATGCAAGTCAGCATCTTATTATGAAAGAATACTTCTCGCTCAAAAGTGATAGATTTACAACCTGACTCTTCCTACTAATCTAGCACAATGGTTTCTTTCAGTAATAAGTGCACCATTCATTCAGTGCTAGTAAATTTTAAGCCACCAGAAATCTTTCAGCTATAAGTACTTGATTGTAATTACAAATTTCAGAGTCTGAATATTGAAAAAAAAAATCCAAGAAAAAAAATTTTTTGAGGGAGGGCCTATGGTAGAGAAAATGTTCTAAACCTATTAAACAGAATATCCCACTACCCTTAAATCAATTTCACTGAAGGTGTTTGAGATGGGTGAGAGGAAGTCAATAGGATTTTCTACTACTAGTGTAACATCTATGTGAAGAGTTATGGTGTTACTCCTAATGAAGAAAACACATTTCATGGGATTCCAACTTTAAAATTGAATCCTTGCACTTTCAAAGTTTGAAACTCAATTCAAAATAAGTTTTAAAGGACTTGGTCATATGGTCCCATTAATGAAAGCTAACAATGGTACTCTGTAATACTATAATACCCAAACTCGAAGAATAAAGACTTCATGGGTAAAAAGGAATATATGAAAATGTCTGTGTCTGCTGAAGAGTGAGTAAGGATTCTTTGTAGGACAATTCCCCTTCTACTTCCTTTCCCCCACTGTCCAGTGGCTTAAGCCAGAAAAATTATTGAAGTATTGTCCTACAAGCTTATTTCTGACTGCCTCCAAACCTCCATATTTGGAGTTAAGGACAAATGCTCTGTGATATCCTGTCTCATTTTCTGTTGCTAACTGTCCTTGAGACTTGGCTTCCTTCCAGACAGATCTCAGGTCAGCCTGACTGGAACTGCTTGGACTTGAGGCTTAAGTGATATAATGTCTATAGATATGACTTTAAGAGTGAAAATGAAGAAAGTTCCACAGCCCAATAAAATACCAATAACAGGAAACACCCTTTTCTACCTGGGGGTTAGGGGTTGGGGAGTCGGAATCTCTTCACAGTGCATAGTTTGAAAGAAAAGTGCAATATGGGCAAAAAAGAGAAGGTGATGCTCTTAATACACAACAAATTTAGTTTTTGGTTTTTTGTCATTGATATTTTCTAAGGAATTTAAGCTAAAAATGCAGTCATTAACATCAAGAGGTACAGGGGGACCTTGGGATTCCAAAATATCTTTGTACTGGGGGAGCCTCTCATGTCACTTTCTTGTTTTTAAACACTCTCTCAAATCCAACATTTGAATAAAATAATTTTTTTCTTCAATATAAAAATGAACTTCTTTAGAAAAAAATAAATCAGCACAGTGACCTTGTCTGTTTTGCGCTAAAGCCAACATAACAATAAATCTAAAAAAAAAAAAAAAAACAAACACAAAAAAAAAACCCAAAAAAATCTGAAAGGAAAACTCAGAAAAGAACATTCTTATATTGGCCTAACTTGTATTTTTAACTGGAAAACTTTTATTTGCCTAACCACCTAAATTAATAAGAATGTTCAGTAATGCAATCCATGTATAATGCAGAATACAATATAATTCCTTCTACTTTGTACTTTAAAGTCACAAGGATGACATCCATGTGATAATTATAAAATTTACTCTACATTTTTGAGTTCTCAATCCAAACATATAGATTAGGACAGGTCACTTTATTGCTGGAAACATTCATGGAAGGGCCAGGTTCCTCATAAAGACAATAAGTTTGATTTGGAGTTGGGCAGGCAAGTGCCCTACTCACATCAGCAGAATTATAAGGAGTCAAGAGGCAATCCTTTCTTTCCTTTTAAAGTAGCAAAGGAACAACAGAAGATTGGTTGACTTGTCAGTGGCCCCACATTAGAGTGCATAGCTCATCAGGATCAAGGCTGGCATCTGTGAACAGTTAACTTCATAAGAGCACACTGTGGGCATTACAGATTTCACCCTGGAGTATTTGAAAATACTTTATGCTCAGTTGACAGCCTGTAAGTAACAGTATGCATTCCTTCTCTTGAGTACCCAAGTATAAATCTAAAATGAAGGGGGCTTATTCAGTCTGAAGGCAGAAACTCCTTGCAGCAGTGTTTCCAGAATTTTTCAAAAATAAAGAGCAGCTAACGTCTCTTCAGCTTCTTGGCTTTTCGACGTTTCATTTCTTCTTCTTCACGTCTCATTTCCTCTAAGTCCTCTTGCATACCTAGTCTTAAACTGTTGAAAAACAATTTAAATGGTATTTGTCAATATACATGAGATTACCACTTTAAAAATCAAAAAGTGCAGTTTCACCTGGAAGCTCACATGAACCCTGCTGATGTTCTCAAAAAGCCTCAAGATTTTATTTTTTTTTAACAAACCCAAATTGTAGAAGAAGAAAAAAATCTTACAACAACAAAACGCCTTAATATTTCTATCAAAGTAATAAAATATAAATTTATTTCAAAAGCTTTTTAAAAATAAAGAACAAAGATGATTTACTCAATAACAACATTCAAAAGAACACTTTGTCTGACATTTTATCTAGTTACAGAAGGGGGAAAGAGTTTTAGTTTTGTGGGTTGAGACTGAAGTGAATTATTTACTAATAATAGGTAATAATAATAATTATTAATTAACACTATAAGCAAAGTAATCACAAGTTACCCCTACTGAAAAATTATCATTAGTTTACTATTTGGTAGCCAAACAGGAACCAGGTAGAGGGAATCTAATTTACTGCTACTGGGTCCTCAAAGCCAACAAAGTTAGAAGTTAGCGAGAATGAATCTAATGGAGGAAGAAAAGCACAGCATTTCCCTCACAATATTCGAGGCCTCTAATATTTACTGTATGTTACACATGTGAGGCATGGTAAGCACCTTATACGCATTGTCTTAATCTTCATAATACCTCAATGAGTAAAATAGTGTATTCAAATTTTACAAATGAGAAAACATTTTAAAAGGTTGTGGAAAAGTTTTAGGATATTTTTGCACAAATGTGTAAAGTTTTATGCTTACCTCTTTGCTTCTTCCTTCTGCTGCTCTTTCCAACTACTCTCCATGTAACGTAAGGCATAATCACTTTCATCTTTGTATCTGAAGAAAGTTGTTAAAAAAATTAAAATTTCTTAAAAAATTACATCCTCTCACTTGAAAAAATCAAAACCTTTATAACTAAATCAAACACATTTAGGATCATTCCTCCTTGCTTAGCACTTCTACAATAGGTAGAAGTGAGTTTCTGCTGCAAAAACAAATTAAATGAGCACTTATTATTCTTAGAAAGCAGCTATTCCCAACTCCAATGTTAATGAAGGTACCAATCCAACAATGCTTCCTCAATTCACTCAATTTATATTAAAATCCTGAAAGCACAATATGAAAATTATTTTATATATGTGAATCTCATTTAGTTTCATGACCATCATGAGGTGGCACAGGACTTTAGGACAGAAGAAACTAAAGTAATTTTATTGATGGTTTGACCAAGAGTTGATAGCTAAGTTATTGACAGCACTAAGATTATATTTTTATTTTTTTTTTAAAGAGAGTCTCCCTATGTTGCTCAGGTCAGCCTCAATTAATGATCTTCCTGCCTCAGTCTTTTAAGTACCAGGGACTACAGGCTTATGTCACTGCACATGGCTCAGATTAGATTTTTAGATCTGATTTTTAATCTAATTCTTCCACTCTAGTAATTTTTTTTTTTAAACTTTTCTCATCTAGGGTTCTAAAGAGGTAGCAAGTACTAATGTAAGGATTGTTCTAGGCTTTATACCCAGCTTCTCAAACTTTAATGTAATTATATATATATGGATGATCTGGAGACCTTATAAAGTAGATTTGGATTCAGTAAGACGGAGGTGAATCCTTAAAGCTCATATTTATAACAAGCTCTCAGGTGTATCAATGTTATTGGTCCCACACTACTGTCCATGGACCACATTGAGTAGTTAAAAAAAAAAAAAATTTAATATTTTGTTTTAGTTGTAGTTGGCTGGACACAATACCTTTATTTTATTTTTATGTGGTGCTGGGGCTT